TAAATAGCCAAAACAGGGACTAACATGTATTTGAACATTTTGGATTGACCGTTCATAGCTTGTAAACTATTTCTATCATCCATTTTGGGTTAAAGAACAAAAAGATGCAGAAGTTAAAACTAGTGTCATGGATCCATATAATTTTTTACTTAAACTCATTATACTTCTTTTGCCTGATATTTGGTTCACAAGAATTGTTTGTCTATTCATTTTGAAACTTCGGTGAAACAAATTCAAAATGGACCATGACACTTTAACAACTTTTTCTAACAACTTTTTGACAATAGACTATGTGTCACTATTTTATTGGTCTGTATATTTGAAACAAACCAATCACGAACTACCACATAAGCGGTTGTAAAAAAGTTGTCAAAAAAAGTTATTAAAAAAACATTTTCCATTCAAAATACTACATTGACTATGTATTCTTTTTATTATGATATTCCAATTTATAAATGTATAGGCTGTATGTATTATCCAATCCATTAACAACTGATACAAGTATAAGTTTAAAGGAAAAAGGGCAAAGTGGGAGTTCAGTAAGGTGTGTGAACGGAAGAAGTGGAAACCTATCTTGTGGGGTCCACCAGCACACACCCAATGATTGGGATCTTAGCAGAATTGCTGAGTGGCAGGTGAGCTGGAGGTGGGATCAGGTGAGGAATATTTTTTTGTTTTGAAGAGAGAGAAGGGGAGAATATAGAGGGGAGGTGAGCACGTGTTGGAGGGAGGACAAAAGGTGGAATTTGGGACTTTGGTCATTGTATCACGATTAGTGAGTGGTTCTTCCCCTCTATAATGTTTGGACAGAGTGAGCAAAAATACACGAATTTCTTTTATCTCTTCTACTTTGTACTGATTGCTATCAACAACTAATTCTCGAGTCCATATGTGCAAAAAATAATTCGTATTCTCTGCCTCACCCAAGAATTTCACAATAACCTGTCATCCTCTTTCCAAGTTAAACAGAACAGGAAAGGAAGTAAATTATAGAAACATCAGAAGTCAAAAGCATTCCTGTTTCCTAAGAACATGCCAGATGTGAGGGCACAAAGTTATTACATGTTAAGAACTGACCTTGTGACTCCCAGCAAGTACAACAAATGGAACAGCATGCCTTTGAGCTGCAAGTGCAACCATATTTAACCCAACTGGGGCAATAACTCCACCATTAGCCATGACAGCATGAGCTCCAACTATGACCTATAAAATGGCACGTTCAAATCAACTTAACGTCAGTACAGGAGTCTTAATTGATTCCAAAATGTATGCCAGGATTTTTAGATACCATGTTCACTCGGGAAATCAATGCAAAAACGGCAGAATCAGAAATTACTGTGGTCTGTAAGCCTCTGGCAGCCAATTCTTTTGCAAGGATATGTCCTTGGTATCTGATTGCACACACAGTCGACATTAAATGGTCTAATGGAATATTTAAACAACTTTATTAATAGTAAATCACGATCATTCCNAATCAAAGGTTGGATTGACAACATGAAGAGAACCAGCACCGCTTGCAGAGTCCATGCAATCTGAGAATTCCCCAAAGTCAAGTAGCTCAGACGGGGATCTCAGTTCATTAAGAAGGACTTCAGGATTGTGTGGATACAAAGGACACAACTGTCAACAAAATATAGCAATTTTCAGCAAATGCCAAAAAGTGTTGGAAACTGAGATGGTGAGGGAGATCATAAACTATTTTTTAAATGGCATCAAAGTTTCCTTAAAAGCAATTAATGGAAAGCATGGGGGTATAGTACATTATTAGTAATATTATCACAACTTGGACTTTGAACTTAATATCAGTAATATTATCAAAGTTTCCTTAATAAAAGCAATTAATGGAAAGCATCGGGGTATAGTACATTATTACTAATATTAATGGAGAAAACTATTTCATTATCATCAAACAAATTATTTTCAAATTTTCAGAATTACAAATTCTCTCATTAGGGATAAATACACTGTGCAGTCAACAGAAGTATAATTAAAGATCTTCTAAAAATTGATTGACGCTCAGTACCTTCATTTTCAGATAATGCAAATTTTTTTAAGAGAGAACTTCTCCAAAACTAGTAGATATGGAATAATTACGGTCCATATTATACATTAGAAATTAGACCACATCAGAATAAAAAATTCAGTAACATCATTTTAAACTAATGGCTAAAAAAATTACAAGCTATTTAGTTTAGATGTATATTTCAAAGGTTTTGTATTTATACAAATACATTACCAAATCCCAAGTCATCCAAAGATTTTGTATTCATCTCTTCCTCAATACCCTTCTGATGAATAAGTTGTCTAAATAGCCAAAACAGGGACTAACATGTATTTGAACATTTTGGATTGACCGTTCATAGCTTGTAAACTATTTCTATCATCCATTTTGGGTTAAAGAACAAAAAGATGCAGAAGTTAAAACTAGTGTCATGGATCCATATAATTTTTTACTTAAACTCATTATACTTCTTTTGCCTGATATTTGGTTCACAAGAATTGTTTGTCTATTCATTTTGAAACTTCGGTGAAACAAATTCAAAATGGACCATGACACTTTAACAACTTTTTCTAACAACTTTTTGACAATAGACTATGTGTCACTATTTTATTGGTCTGTATATTTGAAACAAACCAATCACGAACTACCACATAAGCGGTTGTAAAAAAGTTGTCAAAAAAAGTTATTAAAAAAACATTTTCCATTCAAAATACTACATTGACTATGTATTCTTTTTATTATGATATTCCAATTTATAAATGTATAGGCTGTATGTATTATCCAATCCATTAACAACTGATACAAGTATAAGTTTAAAGGAAAAAGGGCAAAGTGGGAGTTCAGTAAGGTGTGTGAACGGAAGAAGTGGAAACCTATCTTGTGGGGTCCACCAGCACACACCCAATGATTGGGATCTTAGCAGAATTGCTGAGTGGCAGGTGAGCTGGAGGTGGGATCAGGTGACGAATATTTTTTTGTTTTGAAGAGAGAGAAGGGGAGAATATAGAGGAGAGGTGAGCACGTGTTGGAGGGAGGACAAAAGGTGGAATTTGGGACTTTGGTCATTGTATCACGATTAGTGAGTGGTTCTTCCCCTCTATAATGTTTGGACAGAGTGAGCAAAAATACACGAATTTCTTTTATCTCTTCTACTTTGTACTGATTGCTATCAACAACTAATTCTCGAGTCCATATGTGCAAAAAATAATTCGTATTCTCTGCCTCACCCAAGAATTTCACAATAACCTGTCATCCTCTTTCCAAGTTAAACAGAACAGGAAAGGAAGTAAATTATAGAAACATCAGAAGTCAAAAGCATTCTTGTTTCCTAAGAACATGCCAGATGTCAGGGCACAAAGTTATTACATGTTAAGAACTGACCTTGTGACTCCCAGCAAGTACAACAAATGGAACAGCATGCCTTTGAGCTGCAAGTGCAACCATATTTAACCCAACTGGGGCAATAACTCCACCATTAGCCATGACAGCATGAGCTCCAACTATAACCTATAAAATGGCACGTTCAAATCAACTTAACTTCAGTACAGGAGTCTTAATTGATTCCAAAATTTATGCCAGGATTTTTAGATACCATGTTCACTCGGGAAATCAATGCAAAAACGGCAGAATCAGAAATTACTGTGGTCTGTAAGCCTCTGGCAGCCAATTCTTTTGCAAGGATATGTCCTTGGTATCTGATTGCACACACAGTCGACATTAAATGGTCTAATGGAATATTTAAACAACTTTATTAATAGTAAATCACGATCATTCCATGCAAATGTTGGATAGCCAGTACTACAAACCTTGGGGCACCTTCAGCAACAAAGACCTTAAATGATCTTTGCTTTTCCTTCGCAGCATAAAGAAATTCCAAAACTGTTTTTGAGCTGCCTAACGTTAAAATTACCTCACTGAAAAACATGCAAATATCAGTGGAAGAGATAAGAAAAAACAATACAAGGCTTGACTCTGTCTAAACAAGAAAAAAAAATCCTAATATCAAGACATGATAGCTAAAATCAAAAGAAGAACCATTGCCTTGGTTATTTTAAGATACCAAGAATATCAGAAAAAAATAAAAATATATAAGGAAAATGTATGGACCAGTAGTGTAGATTAAGAAGGGGTTATTTTAACAAGTGTTTGATTAAGAAGGGGTTATTTTAAGATACCAAGAATATCAGAAAAAAATAAAAATGTATAAGGAAAATGTATGGACCAGTAGTGTAGATTAAGAAGGGGTTATTTTAACCAGTAGTGTAGATTACTGGTTATTTTAACCAGTAATGTATGCATTGCCTGTAATACAATGGTTATAAATAACAACTAACGCCTTAGTTTGTAATTATTCATCAGAACATCTAGAAATAGTTATAATGTACTTTTTGCTGTTAAGGCTTTAATTAAGAATAGTCGACTAAGGAAATAAAATCTTTCAATGCTCCATTAAGAGAATAACTCTTGGATATCGGAACCCTTTATACAAATACCCATTTACACCAGAACAAGTCTTGGGATTGCTCCCGAATAAAATAGCAAGACTACTGGAGCATTGTCCACTCAAAATATGGTCTGTAAATATATAAAAGTTTCGATGCAAGTTATTCGGAGTCACAGAACAATTCGGATTTTGTAAAGCATGTATAATATGTTTTCAGACAAGTAATTTAAAGTATCTAAACATAAATAATATATATTTAGATTATTTTCATGGGAAACAAACTTGTGGTGAATGTGCTCCACTGCCTGCTCAGCTATTTGTTCATAGCAAGTAGATATGTCTTGAATTAGTTCATTAACTGCTTCAATGACATCATGTTTCAACTTCCTAACTCTTGAACCTTTCTCAATAGCTGCAGAAAAGGAAAACAAAAAGACATGCAATTAAACACCAAAACAAAAACAAATATTTCATCATCAAATGTCACACAAGAAGGAAACGGTATTATAAATTATTCACAGCGATTAACAAATAAACAAACAGTAAAAAATTAATCAAGTATTCTAATATCTTAAAAAATTTGAGAAAATGAGAATATTTTACGCATCAGCCAAAAGCATAAAAAATAACAAAATCATTAGTCTAGCATGGACTTTTGCATTCAAAAGGAAGAAATAAAAACAAAATTGACTACTTTATTGCATTTAACCATGACTAACCAAAACCCTTTTTTTATTATGAAGCAAAAGAAAAATATCTTGAAAATATTACAGAAGTTATAAAAATCTCAATAGTCAAGTGTCATCCTCACATCTACTTCTCCCGTCAGATTCACCCCCAGAGGAAGATGTGTGGGGAGCGGCAACTGAATCAGACGTATCCTCTAGAAGAGTTTGTAATGACGGCGGACGTAATGTACTTCTAGCAGCAGCTGCTACAGCAGCAGCAGATAA